TCCATATATATATATATATATATATATATATATATATATATGAAAAGAAATATTTCACAAGGTGTTTGAGATATATTTATCTCTGGTTACCCTAAAACTACGTCATTTTATTTATTTATTTCCTTATATTAATTGATTCACCTTTGAATGGTTATAATTCTCTTTTTCTCTCTCTTCCTTTATCACCATGATCTATTTTTGTACGGTTATGATTTAGTGGTCGGAGATAAAGTTATCTCAAGCAGCTTGAGAAACAATAAGCATATATATATATATATATATATATATATATATATATATATATATATATATATATATATATTTTATATAAGAATGGGGAAAGATATACTTACCATCAAAAAAATTTACCACCCTTACAACCAACTTAATCATCGTTGATTTCCGTCAATCTAACGATTATACTTTATTGGAAATTATTGGGTCGTACTTATTAATTAATTATTAATTCTTAATAAATTATAACAGTTAGATTGACGGAAATCAACGGTGATTAGATTGGTTGTAAATGTGGTAAACATTTTTGGTGATAAGTATATCCTGCCCCTACAAGAATAGGATCAACTTATATCAATATAAGAATAATAAGTCATATGCTAAATTTTAACCGTTGATTTTCATGAATTTAATGGTTATAATTTATTGAAAATTAATAATTAATCAATAATCGTGACCTAATAAATTATCACCGTTAGATTCACGAAAATCAACAGATAAATTTTGGAATAAGACTTATTATTCTTAGATCGTTATAAGTTGATCCTTCCCCTATAATATAATATAATAATTATTGAAATTTTAGCTTATAACCTCATCATTAAATCACTTCTAATGACTCCAGTTATATATGCTTCCAAACTGAATGCATAGAGTTCTTACCACATGTATGTATATATTGTATGTAAGGTTATGTTTCTTTTTAATGGGATCAACATTATTAATGAGGAGTGAAGGTTGAAACCCCTTCTCTTAATTTTAAGCTTTTTATGACGCTAACCTTTCATTACAATATCTATGTCAAATTCTTGTGCCATACATGCTAGTAATGTGTGTCAAATAGAAAAATATGCTCCAGTAATAAAACAACAAAGGGGACTGGATTCTCTAGGTTTAAGTCCCATTTGTAATGGGTTGGGTGAAAATTATAAAAGATAGCTTATTCTATTTTGTAACCGACATAGCACAGGACAAAAACATGAATAAAAAGAACACCTATACTTGGTTTCCGGTACCATAGTTTAGAAAAAGACAGTGGCGATAAAACCAATATAATTTATTTGGAATGAATTTTTATATTGAGGTATGTGTAGTTATTTATATTTATATAGTTAATATAAGTAGATACACCTAGGGATAAAAAGAAAAGAAAAGGAATAGCAAGCCTTAAAAAGAACTTCATTCCAACATATTTGGAAGTGCATGGAATAGTGGTTTAGAAACTTCGATGGCAAATTTTTAAAATTTTGCTAGTCATTGATTGTTGGGCAATTAAGGGACTTGTAGTAAAAAAATATATAAATAAAAATAACAGTGCTATATGACACATTGGTGTTTGATAACATAGAAATTTGGGCAATAAGGGTATTAATTTAGTACATTCTTTTTTAAGTTATCAATAGAAAATAATTTCCTTTTTATTTAATAACCGTTTTCGTCTTTAAATTTCCCATATGAAAGGTATGATTGTTGGAAGAACTAAAGAACTCCCTTACCAAAAAAGAACCTGAAGAAATCAATAGATTAATGAGAGCAAAGAAAACACTATAATTGCATTTCGCACCATATCATTTATGTCTAAGATACTAGTTAAAGTGTCCCCCATATATATTGCGTATGCTTTAGGTATTATCTTACAGGGAGGGTATATCTATAAATTAAATAGTTTACAAACTCTTACAACCAAATTTCAATCATTAATTTTCATCAATCTAATGATTATAATTTAGTGAGAATTAATAATTAATTAATAAATATAATTCAATAAATTATAATTATTAGATTTACAAAAATCAACAATTAAAATTTAATTGTTTAGTTTGTAAATATAACCGCCATGTTCTCTTAAAAAGAAAAAGAGGACATACATATTAAGCCACTTATACATAAAAACCAACGGTTAACGGAGTTTATTTATTGAGTTTACATATATGCTTTAATAACGATATGGATTGTGAGAAAGATTTAGACCCTTATAGACATGCACCTTGTTCTTGTCCTTCGTTTTCCTATCAAAGCAACTTAAGTAAGTCAAGTTTGGGTTTTTTAATTAAATTATTATTTCAATGGCTAATGTGAATTAGCTTACCTGATTAATCTTTTTATATATATATATATATATATGAAGGTTATATTTACAACTTTTTTTTTACAACCTCTTACAACCATATTTTAATACTGTTGATTTTCGTCAATCAATGGTTATGATTTTCACAAATTAAATTCATTAATTAATTATTAATTCACAATAAATGATAACTATTGATTAGCAGAAATCAACGGTATTAAGATATGATTGTAAGAGATTATAACAAAAAAATTGTAAGTATAACTTATATACATATATATATTACTTTCGCAATTCGATCCAGGTGTAATGAAGACCAAAAGTTTTTACTAGGGTGCTTCCTCAATGATCAAATTTTCGACTTTAAAATTTAATTAAACAGTCACTTTTAGACATGGCACCATTGGGTTTCCTGATTAATCTTTCACTCATGCCGACTTTGATTTCAATTAAAGAGTATCCCTTAGTTGTTATAAAAAAAAAAGTATCCCTTAGTAGGTGATTTGTAAAATAATTACAATGATATTATTAAAGTAAAATTCATTTCAGAATTGTGATGTTATGAGAATGTAACGGATATATATTTTTTTTTCATTTATAGAACAAACTGCGGTTCATCATACAAAAATTAGTTAGTGTTACACTCAGTTTTCATATTCATTCTAAATGGTTTTGATATAAGCAAGTTTACAGGTAGAGGCAATGAAAAACAAATTTTTTTTTTTTTTTTTTTTTGGTAAACACAATGAAAAACATTTTGCTATAATGTTCCCTACTAGGATTTCACTATTTCAGGTCCAAGCTCATCACGGATACAAGATCCAAGTACAGCAAATGGTTAAAGGGGGAACCTATCATAAATCAAATATTAAGAATAAAATCTCCCTTAACTCTCATATCCAAGTTCCACATGTAAATTAATCTTTTGATTTGTCTAATAAAAAATTTAAAAGTATATGTAGTTTTTTAAAACAAACTATAATTTTTTTTGATACATAACAAACTATAAATTTAATCAAATTCTAAACATTTATTATATTTATTTATTTATTTAAAAAATATATTTTTTGGTTTCTTGTCCCATGTCTTTTAGGTGTACGATTAATCTCTTTGGATATGAAATAATACAATTAGGCGTTTGGTTGATGACAAAATTTTTGAATACTAGGAAAATGTAATTACTAGAAAAATGGTTTGAAGGTAAATTTGGTAGGAAAATGTAAAAAAAGTTATTTGGTTGACCGAAATATTACCAGAGAAATTTATTTAAATTTGCAAAATCTATGTTCGGGAGAAATTTCGCACTTGTTTTTTCACTTCTCTAGTTATCTCAAAATACCACATCTCAAGTGGTATTCTGTAACAGTGAATTTTATCCAAAAATTAACACAAAAGTTATTTCTCCATCTATTCTATTTGCCTAGTATTTTTTTTCAAAAATCTAAATTAAACGTGATATTTTTCAATATTCACTTACACTTTCCCATCAATCCTAAAATAAATCTTCTAGGAAACACTACGGTCCTTCCTAGTCCCTACAAACAAGTAGCTTTCTGGGGGTTCGGCCTTATCCTTCCTAATATAATACAGTTTGCTTGCCACTACACTCAATCCATCATAGGTAATATATAAGTTTTGCTCATCCTAATTAAAATCAAAATAAAATGAGGGTGGAAAGAATGGAAGGGCTGGATAGGACTATGTGTCAGAGTTCGGGGCCGAATGTGTTCACGATCACATCGAGTGATATTTATCCATTAAGGAAAATTATGGGTCTCAATAGGTTTGAAATAAAGGATAAATTTTTCTACCTATTTTTTTATATCTATTTGTCTATAATGTTTCAATATCATTAAATTAAAATCTCAATTAATATTTATTATCTTTTTCTCTTTTTAAAATTATGATCTAATAATATTGAAGAGTGGTATATAAAATAACTTATCCCTTAAAATAAATGGTAGTATGTTAGCGTTTGGCCCAGTAAAAGCAAATAGTAAAAGAAAAATGTTAGCTAGCAAAAAAAAAAAATGTTAGCATCGTGGTATCACTTCGATTATCCACGTATTCAAACTTGAGGATAGGGTGATTGAGTGGGTCTTTGCCAAACAGCTTACGAAAGTGCTATTTGTTCATAATGCTTGCAATAATTTAGGGCATGCTTGATTGTGTTCTGATTTTTTTGTTCTTAAAACTGTTTTGTAAAATAGTTATGAAAACAGTTATTTTCTGTATTTTTTTTTTTTGAAAGTTAAAATCCAAAACAGAAAACAAAAACAACTCAGACATATTCTCTAAATTTGATTCTAAAAACAAAAAAACAGTTATAGTTTTCAAAATATTTTTTACAAAACAGGTCTTACCAAATGAATTTTTTTAGTTTTTTTGTTCTGAAAACTAAAAAACTGTTTCCAAGAACAACAATCAAACAGAGCCTTAATCTTTACTTTTGTTTTGGTGAATTTATATTTTCTTATTTGTGATGTTATTTCGTGGTTTTTTTAAAGTCATATTTAAGTACTATTGTAAGTTTTAGTTGACACTTTTGGTATGCTCAGACCTTGTAAGTCCTCGTAAATAGCAACTTCAGCAATAGAGTTCGCGTTTTGCACCGCAGCTAAGAAATTAATCACCAAATAACAAGAAAATTATCAAACTTGACAAACTAAATTTTATAGGAGGTGATGCAAAACTCATTCTTTTCATAAACTAAAGCATACAACATTAAACCTCCTGGTTATACAGATAAATTCTGATTGGAAAACCTCGGCTTCTAGAATTATCTATACTCAAAATCACTAGTAACTTCCCACACATTATCACACTATATTTCTGTATCCAAGTTAAAGGAGAGGAGGAAAATATGAACAAAAAGATTTAGACAAAAATATTCTACATCTCAAAATGCCGAGTCAATCTTTTCCCAAGAGATCATCAACATGAACGTAGCAAAACAGGACCAACTGATAAACTAAGTATATCACTGAGAGCCACTTGGACCTCAGTTGAGCCATGTTCGCAACTTATCAAGCTTGAGAGAAGAGGGAAAAAATGAGCCATGTTCTTCTCGGAATTAATATCTCCCAAATTACAAATAGCCTGAAGTGTAGCTACAACAAGCGACGCACGTGCAGCCAATTCTCTTCGCTTCCCAGAGCCTAGAGGAATCAACCAATGTTGCTGTCTACCATAAGAAGATTCAGATACTCTTCCAGAAGCTGTAACTTCAATATAAAACTCCAAGACCTCCTGACAAAGCTGAACGAGATGAGTCTCAACCTCAGCCTCCTCATAATTAGGAGGCCTGTCCACAACTAGGTTCTCTAAAAATGTGAGGCATATTTGGTAGGACTCATTCTCAAGGCGTAAAAGTGGAGGGTCTTGCATTTGGGTCATAGAGGCAAACTCTTGTAACTTTGAACGTAAAATAACATTGCTGTTAATCTTGTGAGCATGTAATGCCACATCATGCAAAGCATCAAACAGGACTAGTGTGGATTTTGCTGAAAGTTGAGAACGGTACATGTTATAGATCTCCATCACCGCCTGCCAATTTCAGTGAGAGTTGTTATTTTTCAAAAACTAGATACATCTGTTTTTTATGGCACACATAACTATGGTTGTCAGTGCACATTATATATGGAAATGAGGTATTGAATGAAATATATGTTTCCTCCTTGATAGTGCATGTTCCTAAGATCATATAATTTTAGTAGTGCTAAAATAGTAAACGACATTGGTAATATAAAGACTAAAAGATCTTTTGATCAAATTCCTATGAAAATACTAAGAAAAACATCTGCTATGGCTTCTTCCTTGTATTTCTTTCTATTGGGCAATTTTTATTTTTATTTTTTTTGGCACATTCTTTCTACAGGATATTTTAACAATGTTTAGAGGAACAGAATAAAAATCTACCTGAATCAATAAAAGTTGAACAGCAGCTCGGCATTTTGCTTTAGATAAATATGCATAAAGTCGACGAGTCCTCAGGCTTTCTAAATTATCAGGTGAGCCAGATTCAGCAGGATCCCTGTCAACTTTATCTGTTGAAGCATGTTCATGATTTCTATTCACAAACTCCCCACTGTCAAGGAATGAAAAGTTAGGGACTGTTGCATTTGCTGCTTCTTTTAGTGAGAAAACCACTTCTAACCAATTCTCATCAGAAAACAGCTCCCCAGCATTATTCATCAGACGAACAAATGCGGCAATACCAATGCCAGCCAGGCTTTGATGAGGGCGCTGTATAAAGCTTACAAGGAGCATGAGCACCTTTCTTAAAAGTGGATTGACTGTGTTATAAAAGTTAACAAAAAGATCTACCACCAATTGGAGGGCTAATGTGCATGTCTCGTAAAGCCATGCATCTTGATCAAGCTCACCGTCAGTCTCTACTTCATTGACCTGTGAGCTACTCCCTGAAGGATCAATAGAATGACGAACATAATCAAATATTCGAAATAGGACTGATTCAAATACTCTTTCCCATAAAGGTAGTGAAAAGTGGCGGCCATGGTTGCGTAAGGTTTCAAACAGGACTTGCAAGGCACTCTGCCTTATCTCAGACCTAGGGTCAAAGCTAAGCTCAGACAAACCTGCATAAAATAGACACTGAATAAGTACATAAGTAACCATCTAAGACAAGGGTGGGTGCTGGATAGCAGTAAGTACAAATCATTTGAGCAAGTTACAAAACATAAGCTAAATACTTTTGCCGTAATTCATGCCTAGACAAACTTAATACAATGTCCTCACCAGCCAATAAAGGAAACCACAAATAGAGATGATCATCCTTGTCTGTCACCTCTCCATTATCAATTTTTCCCTCTTTTCCTCGTCGAGGTGAAGGTGCAGAAATCTTTCCAAAAGTTTCCTTGTCTTTATTCCTTGACGAAGAGCCAAGATCTCCTTCTGCTAGTTTTGTTGCACAGAATTCAAGAAAAGCAATGGCATTTAGGCTAATCTCTTTGTTAAACCTACTATTGGTGAATGCAATTAGACAATTCACACAATCTGTAAAGGTGGTGGTTTCAGTTTCAGTGATGTATGCAAAGTAATCTCGAATAATTTTCTCAATAATTTCAAAAGCCAAGAGTACAATGTTTTTGTGGTCATCATATGCTGCTGTTGTGAATACCTGAAATCAAGTACACAAGCCATGAGTGGAAGGAAAAAAATTATATTCTTCAGCAGACAAAATCAAAACAAAAACTTTTTCTGTACAAATTGGAGCTCTCTACAGAAAACATAATTTGAGCATCCCTACCATGAACATGCTCTTCCATCCTGATTTGACATTGTTGACACGAGATAAAACCATTTGAGAAACACATCTGATAATAAGTTCTCTAATTTCAACAGCGCTACTCTTTCGCATAACAATGACGAAAGGCTTCATAAATTCATTTTGAAAATTATAATTAGCCAACTCTTCCCGCTCAAGAAATTTCATTGACAACTGACGCAAGGAATCCATTGCAAAAATTGCAATTGAAAGGTTTCTAGAACAGCCAATGGTTACAAAGAAATCTGAGAGAACATGCCAGACGCTTGACCACACAAGCCTGATACGGTTCATATTATAGTGCCTGTTACACAATAATCATGTCAAATTCAAACCACATAATTTAGACTGCAGCGAATAAGCACCAATCAATCATGAACCACAAAATCATAACCCCAATGCTCTGTCCCAATTTTTTTCCAGATCAATTGCACTTTCCCAACTTCATCTTTGGGGGCACTTGTTAGTTTCCCTCATCAATAAAATTAAACAGTCAGTGAATTGTTTTACCATCCAAACTTTGGTGACTTCACATGCAACCCAATATTTATTTACAAAAATTGGACAGGAAACTAGTTCAAATGACCAATTTTCCCAACCTACAAAGGGTTTTGCATGAGATTTGGGGATTCAAAAGGGACAATGTGTCAAATGAGAGAAAGCAACCAGGGCAAAAAATGCTCTGTCTATAATCAATAAAGGATATTGCAATTTCCCAGAAAGTTAGGGTTTTGAAAATGCCACTAATAACCCCCAACCCGTAAACACCAAGAGCCACGAGAGGAAATATAGTTCAGAGGGAGAAGAAGGAGGTATCATGCATTAAGTAGTAAGAAGATAATACGTACGCAATCTCAACTATCTTTGTAAGGCTGAACACCCGTGGATCAGACGGGGATCTCAGTTCCTCCATGGAGACCTTGCATAAAGCCTTAACAAAATCTATTACGGCCTCACTGTTCAACTTCTGACTCCGAGTGAATATGCGATTCATTTCTGAGCTACCAACTTGTTCCAGCATATTCAAATTAGACACTAGATTGTTCACCTGTTCTGATGTGATGGCCCCAGAAGCATTAGAGCCAATTCCAGCACTATCGTATGAACCCCGCATCACCGTGGCAGCTGCATACTGCATCCTCTCAGGTCCCTTCTTCAAAATAGGAAGGATAGTTGATTTCACCTGCTTTACATTTTCAGAATCATTCTGAGGAAAAGCAAAGAATGTGGCATCTGGTGGAGCCCCCTCTCCAAGAAGATGTAGATGCTCAAATCGGGAAACACAGGTCAAGATATGCTCCCAAGCTTCTTGTAAGTAATTCCCGTCCTCATCAGCAATAGTAACTATCACCTATCAACAATTCATATGGAAAATCTACAGGAGCTTAACATTGGCTTTCTGATATTGCATAATGCATCCTAAATACACATACAACTAAATATATGCATTTTCAGATATTGTTCTTCCCAGAATGGCTTTCGGCAAGGCAGGAAAATTTCCACAAGCACGTGTCCATTAATTTGCAAATTATTACAGTTACAGCAGAAGCTTTTGTGATCTCATTCAAACAGAAAGGATGATCATTTTTTTTTTATTGTTATGTATGTAGTGATGAACACTTGTAGAGAGTTCAGCTTTAGATAGGACTGAATCATCAAGCAGAATCCATTTTGCAGCTAAAACTTGTCCAAACCATGTGAAACCAGTCCATTAAAACTTGCTGTTGAAAGCACTTTGTGAAAACTGTACAGCAATTTGAAAATTAACAAGTGCTTCAAAACAATTTCTAAAACAGACTTATAAAGAGTTTTCAGACATGCCCTTACAGCACCAAAAATTCAGAGCAATGAAATAACTTCATATCAAATTGGGGCAACGATGATTAGTTTGTGTCAGGATGGAGTTGTGCAAAACCATGACTTTTAAGGAATACCACTGGACTATGTTTGGAAGTTTTCGAGAGAATGAAATGATATGGAAACGAATAGGATGACATGAAAAGACAATGGACCAAAAAAAAGTTGCATTCTCCATGTTACATTATTAAAGAGGGAAGAAGGGAAAGGTAATAGGTTGTCACTGTAAAAGTTAAATACAACCCTTCTAAGCTCTTTGAAGTAACTAAATTTCTAAGATAAAAAAGTAAATGACATGTTTTTAAAATATAAGTAAAACAAAAACCCCTAATAACCCCTCAATTTGGAGCAGAACAAAATGTGAAAATTTGAGGTGAAATGAGGGGTAATGGTTCCCTCACATTTCCTTCCCCCCCATAAAATTTTAAACACCCAAAGAAGGGAGAATCTTTCCCTTCCCCTTCTGTCCTGCTCATCAATGTCCCAAAATCCAATCATACAACATATATTTAATCATGTATCGCAAAAAGATACTCTTTTGAACAAGGGTAATAAAGAAAAAGGATGGAAAACATCCAATTTAAGAACAAGATTAAACATGGACTCAAACCTTAAAAAGATGTCAAGGAACTCAATGAATACACTTGAAACAATTGCACATTATGAAAGGGGGACACTAAGTGACTAACACTGTCACTCTGTCAGTATAGTAGAAAGTAGCGTAAAGCACAAGAAGAATAGCTAATCAATAATGAGTTCAGCTTATTATATAAGCCAGCTAGAAAAGAAAAGAATTATACATTTACCCACCTTGATTGCGTCTACATTTTTCTGCTTTATATCAGCAGGAGAATGCAGGGAAGTAAACTTTGCTAATGAAGTCACAAAAGCATCTCTATGAGTCTTCATGGACATTACAGAAGTAACATGAATAGCATAGCGGAAGCCGTCAAGACACAAAGCTATTACAACTTCATCATCACTTTGATCAAGAGGAACACTGAAGGCAGCTAACATCGGTGCCCAGCACACCTCAATCATGAATCTAAGGATTACCACATCAGTTGCTGCATAATAGACTGACCTACAAATTGCAAGCAAATAAATATCAATAATATAGATCTCTCTCTCTCTCTCTCTGTGTATATATATATATATATATATAAAACAAGTAGAAACTTCTTTTTCGAAAATATTATGAAAGAAACAACAATAAAAAGGATAAATTTCTATAAAAAGAAGAATAAATTAACTTCAAAATTCCAAACAAGTGATCTAATTAGCATAAAAGAGTAAAAAAAAATACACAACTGTGAACATTTCAGATTGACACACCATACTTCAAACTGACATGGACCAAGTAAACTAACAGATAAATATTAGTAAAAGTGGTAGGCCCATAAACAGCATGAACGTGAATGTTTACACAGTGGCATTTGAAGGTTCTTCATGCCAAAAATAGAATAAGGTTAACTCATGAACTCAAAAGAATATTTCCAACATAATGGGAAAAAAATGGAGAACATACTCAGTTTTGCGAGCTTTTTCTTTAAATTGTTCTTGCATATGTCGGATTAGATCATCACTGGTCTCCATATGATTGTCTTCCCCACGCTTACGGATCACAATATTCAATATGCTATCCAAGCCTAAAAGTCTGTTAGGGTTCACAGCCTGTCTTTGTTGGGGTGCCAGATCAACGTCTTTCATTTTGATCTCATTTCTAGAAATTCTCTCAAACAAGGACCTCAAGTATTCCTCTGGTACATCTTTTCCATCATCTATGCCACGATTGTTTTTTATGAAATCATCAGCAGACATCTGCATAACTCAATAAGCAAAAATAAAATAATTTATCTCATCTATCATTGTCATATGCACATCAATTTATAGAAATAACTGAGCACACCTTGTTCTTCACCATGGGATTGTGAGCATCAGTATTCAGCAGTATCACAGAATATGCAAGAACATATGCTGTGTCAGCACTAGAAAAGACTTTTGGATTACATTTCCAATAACGCTCGGCAAACTTTTCCATGATTCGATCAATTTTCTGTGCCTCACCAGGCAGTCTAAATCCTTGAAGAAAGACCCTGATAGCCTCATCAAACTCCATCCCTTTAAATTCAAAAGAATCCACGTAGGCATGCATTACTTTCAAGGATAATTCTTCCCTTTCTCCCAGATAATCACCAATCAAAGTCTTGTTCAACCCAGACGCATCTTTAAGAAAAGCAGCTATATCCTCTGGTGAATTACCCACTTTGTTGGCATTGATGAGGAATTCAATTCCTTTCTTAGGCTTCCTATTAAAAAGTGATATACCTTCCTGCCATAAACTTAGCATTAGCTTCATATATGATGAACACTCAAAGCAATAACAGAGATCTTCTTGCTACACCAAAACTCATATATTTTCTTACCTGAAGTTCCAGTTTATAAGCCCGGCGTTGCTCAATATTTGAAACATCAGATGCCTCATTTGAGATTTCAGAATGAGTGTCTGATCCTTCAACTGGCTCTTCTGCATTCCCATTTACTGTGGGAAGACCTCCAGCTTCATGGCTATTATCAACTGCTGCAGCTTTCTTTGCTGAATGAGGATCTGGAATACGCAATTGTTTGTTCATCCAGTTTCCCATTGACTTCAAAATAGCAACCAAGCATTTCATGGCTTCAAGTTTTAGTATTGCCTCTTGAGGTGGCAAAACTGTGGTCATTACACTAGAAGGGACACCTTGGGCAGTTTTAAGAAGTCCATTGACCATCCTAGGAGGAATATAACAAATAAATATTATAGACCATAGCGTATATTAAATGACAATCAAGTTCAAGACAACCACACCCACACCAGCACAAATAGTGTACAAAACAAGGACATAAGCTAATAAACTGTAGATCCATATTATAAACATAAAATAGCAAAAAATATTCATAAAGTATATCAAATAAATAAAAAGCACACCTCTCAAATATGTTTGATGAATTGACATCACAGTCATAGTTGATAAAAATGTCTACAAATATCTGTGAATCAACACAAAGCTTTTCTAGAAAATGAAGCACTATCATCTTTTGCTGAAAATTAGGTTGAGCAACATTTTCTAGAACCCTGAGAACAATCATGGGGAAAAAGACTCCAATTTCTGCTTTCAATCCAGCTCTAAATCTTGATACCAGACTGATGAGAATGGAACATGATAGCTGAAAAACGATCATAAGAGTTGAAGCACTGTTCTTCAACAATGATAAACATAAGTACTGCTTGATGGCACCTAAAAACCTGCTTCATCACAGTCAATGCAACCATCAGTAGTGTTCTTTATCATGATAAAACAGTTAATTGTCATGATAAAATAGAAGAAAAAAAGTGTCAATTGTCATGATAAAACAGAAAAGATAATGTCACTTTTCATTAATGTAAACTTCAAAGAATAAAAGTTCAAACTAAAAGAAAAAGAAAAAAAGATACAATAACAAAATTCAAGAGACAATGGTAAAGGAACTGAAAATTACAACACAAGAATAGCATATCGAAATAAACAACTCCCCATGAAACCCCAATTTTGGAAGCGTCCAGAAGATAATGATATAACCTGAATCATATGCTATTCACAGACATCATGTTTACATGATTTGATCTGTTACTCAACTAACTCCTGATGAATCCCCAATTATGAGGACACAAGGGAGCTTTATAGTAGCATATGACACAACTAAAAATATAATTCATGCAGATAGAATGCAAGATTGAGTTTCTCCTTTTATGCATTCATTCAATCCAGTAATTCTCTTTATAGAGTTTGATACAAAGGACACATCAGCCTATTCTGTTGTAACAATTATCTGATCACTAAACTGAATAGGACTAGGCTATTTACAGAAATAACCCTATACACAGTGGACACTAACAATATGTAACTAATGTAACTTTTACATTTACTCTATACTAATATCAAATATTATAGTGGGAAATGACACTACCCTAACTGGGGACCATATCAATCAACTTAAAAGCAAGTAATATGCCTAGCAATGTGAAATTCAATAGTCTCTCAACAGAGGTGTTCTATTCTAGTAGAAACCATAAAATATGCTGCTCAAAGGAATTTCTGGGACTAAGGGGGGTTTTATATTTCACAATATCCTCAGAACTTGTGAGGCCTAATCTAGCAATATGACAATATGACATTCATATACTTCTCTTTAGATTATCTTTACCTTACAGCATAACTCTCCCAAAAGATTCTCCACAATTTCCTCTACATGGTAACGATTCGAAAGATAGAACCTAATGGCATCATTTGACCTGTGTAGCCAATCCCACTTAGTGGGATAAGACTTGGTTGTTGTAAATAACTTGTTGTTTTAGTAACAATCCAAATGGTATCATGTACTCCAGAAAGTGAGATTGAGTTATTGACTTTGACAGAACTTCCAGAAAATGTAGTCATGCTAACCAACTTCCGGTGGACCAGTACTATGTTTAACTGATAAACTGACAGAAGTACAATTACACTGAGACATATCTTCACTCTAGGATTCATCTCATAACATATCTTCACTCTAACTGATAAAAAAATGCTAACGTTTGAAGTTTAAACTAAATGCCCCCCAAAAAAGAAGTACATAAAAATGAGAAAAGAGAGGGGGGAAAAAAATAGCATATTAACACACAATGAGAATTCTACCTTTCACTAGTCCTGAAGACATCTCCAGCATTCTCGAGCAAAATCTTCAACAACTCCAAAGCCAAAATCTTCCCCTTCATCAACTGTGGATCAGCAGATGCCTCCTTGGGGGGCGTCTTCATAGACAATTTACAAAGAGCCCTGAACACCAAAAATGCATCCCTCCGCAGCTTATTCCCAATCTGAATCTCCAAATCATCATCCCTCTCGATCCCCTCCTCATCCACAAGCTCCCCTTTCCTACCCTCTAAGGCTGTCTTGTACATACTGATCTCCCAATACTTGGCATCCAACATGTCCTTGTCAGTGGAATCCAACAAATCCGCCGGATTTGTGGTCTCCACCGACGTCGTGGTCTCAAAGGCACCATCATGCCCACCCAATGCCGAAACCTTACTCGGCATAGGTGGGTTCAAAACCCCATCAATATCCTGCATAATCTTGGTGATAAAACTCTGCACAAACTGTGTCATCGAGTTATCCACATCAGATTTTTCCACTGGCTCCATCCATTCAGACACCACAATGGGCTGAATTGGAACCGAGGACGAATCTGCCTCCATCCTCCTAAACACAATCACCATCATCTGAATCAACGACGCCTTTGCCGTCGTCTGATTCACCACATTCTTGCTACCAATATATATATCATAACAAGTCCTCACAATCAAAAGCAAGCAATCACCATGAATTCTCAATGAAAACGAGGTTACCGCGGACAAGAGCGTCTTCAGCACCAGCAGTTCCATGGCGTCATCGCCCAAGTTGTGGCACTTGCACACCGATTCAATCAGGCTTGCCAGCAGCTTCGCCTCGGGGCAACCTCCGGCGGCGTCCGCCTCGCCACGGAGGTAGCCATGGGAGATGAGTTTCTGGACGGCGTCGACGGCAGGATCGGCGATCTTCAAGACGCCGGAGCTGGCGGCAGTAATGAGAGGGCCGAGGATCAATTCGGACTCGGCTAGTGAGTAATCGACGGGGCCACCGTCGTGGAGCGGGCCTGGAACCGAAGCCTCGGGCTCGGCGGCGTCATTGGAAGGTGGCGATTTGAGGTTCTGCGACGAGGTGAGAGTTTCGATGACGGATTTGCACTCGCGAGCGAGTTTCGCGTGCTTTCTCCACGACGCGTTCTTGATGATTTTCTCGAGTGCAGGGACGACAACCGGGTTCAGACGGGAATCAGCTTCCGAAGAAGCCATTCCCGAGTTGGCAACTGAGTCGCGAGCTACGAGGAAGGAAGACGCGGCTGCTTCGACTAGGAACTTGTTCCCGTGAGCTGCAGCACTGAGTAAGTGGAGCTCACGAGTGCTTCAACAATGGCGTCGAGTTGGCTCGGTGAGTTGAGGGAGAGAGCGAGCTATTTTCGGGATTTAATCGTTGCGAATCTGAGAGGACAGAGGAGTGGACTTGAGATCACGTTTTCGCTCGCGCGAGAAGCTTGAAGTTTTCTCGTGAATTGACTGAAATGCCCTTCCGTTTAACCATTAGTAGTTAGCAGATCTGCAGATGGTTTAATATCTCTTTTAAAAGGAAATAAGTTTATATAATTTCATTTCTTATAACTGTATTTTTTGGAATATATAATTATAGTATAAATTTTTTCTTTCTTTTTCTTTCCATATTAATTGATAAATTTTTTAAAAATTTCTGAAGAGAAAAAAAAATTAATATTATAATTATGTGATGGACTCCTCTGAAAAAGGGGAGAAAAAAACATTGACGCGCATGTAAACAATGTGCTCTACCTAACTAAGCTATAGCCGTTATGTTTTTGTTCCATAATTTATCATATTGTGTATACAATTTCTTGTCAAGATTCATATTACATGTTCCAATTTCTCCTAATGTGCAATCACTGTACATCTACTAAATCATATATACATATATATATATATATATATATATATATATATATATATATATATACGGATTTATATTTTTGTATCTGCTGTAGTACAACAATCAAATACTTGCCGTATATATACGTGAAAATATTAAATGCGGAGAATCATAACCATACAAAAGATGAAAGCATTAAAAGTGGAAAATCATAACCATACATCTGTCGTTGTTGTACGTAAAGTGGTTGCAGAAATAATTTTACCATATATATATATATATATATGAAATATTAGTCTCATATTATAGAAGACTAGTATCTCATATCATAAACATAAAGCATGTGGTCATAAAGCCAGAGTTATATGTTAACAACCCCGTATTTGTTATTACACTTGTTTAAAGATCATAAAAAAAATATTTGATACAAAAGGAAGGTAAAAAAAAGCACAAAACTAGCTAGGTCTGCTTCTAGATGGTCACATTTTCAAAATCTATAATATAACTTCTTTAATTTTGGATTATAAATACAAAATCTAAGTCTTAACTTCGTTGTAAACACTTTTCAAAATAAATATTCTTATAATAAATCATTCTTATAATTAAATGTTAACTCAGCAATTTTGTTTTATCTAAAACACAGACACACACACCTCCGACGCACTGTGGTCTGAAACCACACCCCCTCACACACAAAAAACACCTCACACCTAAATAAAAATAAAAAGTACAAACACCTGCATATAAATTAATCTTAGAAGATAGAATTATATTCCCTACCCATAGTAAAGCCGCAAAGAGCACAATGAATAGAAACTCCATTAATGGCTTTTTAAGGTGAGTAGTGTAATGTCTCGTTGTACACCCAGTTCGTTAACATTACGTGTGATATTAAGCGCAGTTGCAATCACAACATTTCAATTAAAATACGGCTACACTTTTTCTTTTTAAACGTTATACGTTATACGTTCCATTAATAATAATTATCATATTTAAAATAAACCGAAACAGTAATTGTGACTCAGTGACATTGCAGAATAATCAATTATGACTTAATCATATCACATTGGTCTTATTAGACATTGCTATGGGGTTCCCATAAACCTCAAAGTCTTATTTTTCATTTTTCAGCAAACTGGGCAGCTCGCTGGGCTCGTAGCTGAAGCAAGCTCCCCAACGAGCACATTGCTCAACTTGCTGAAGCGAGCATTACAACGAGTGAATTAATTGCCCAGGCAGTAGCTACTGCCCAGGTGATCTGTTTCCTTGCTTTTCACCTCGCTGAAGCAAGGGTATCAACGAGCAATCCCCTACCTCAGCTCAACTTCTGTCTCATTTTTATTTAGCTCGTTGGCCTCCTCGCTAGAGCGAGCTCGCCAGCGAGCAGAGCTAGAAATTGAACATAACCTTTCTGTTTCCTGGCTCTTTCCCCACACATTTGGTACACCTTTTGGGTACCTAATATATACGGATTGTCAACCTTTAGCCCGACAAACTAGGGTGCATTTACATCCCAACAATCTTTATAATTTAAGACATTCATCTTATTTTTACTTGCTTTACAAGTTATGTATTATAACAACTCGTAAATCTAAATATGAAATTATATGCTATATTGTGGGTTAAAAGGGAAGGATTAGTGAAAATCCGAAAATTAAGGCCAAACTGAGTGAAAAGGGCAAAATGGTAATTTACCAAACACGTAACCCGAGGCATGAAAAATTGAGTAGAAGACCTCAAATGATAAAAATAATGTCGGAAATGGATTCAGGACGAAAAATCGAGTGGATAGACAAGTTTTGAAAATTTTGATGAATAGTGATTTTTCCCGGAGTAAAAATACTGCGGTATAATTGTACAGATAAGCGTGAAAATTTTATCAGTATTTTTAGGAAACAAAAATATGACATGAACCAGAAAAATACGTAGGTTATGAATTTGTGATTTAAATTAGGTGATTAATAAAAGTTAAATCGCATGTGGGACCCACCCATGGCCTGAGTGACCTTTTAAGTGGGAAACCTCACACTCTCTCTCCTATTTCTCTTCCTCTCACGCGTGAACCTCCACTTCCATAGCCATGACCTTGAATCCTTCTTCCTCTTGCAACTTCTTCATTTCTTGACCGATTCAAGTGATTCTTGGCTTGAAATTTGTTGGAAACAACCTTCCGAATCCATTAGTAGTAGAATTAAGCCATGAAAACCACCACATCTTGTGAAAAACCCCATTTTCAGCGGCGGTTTTGGATGATTTTGGAGAAATTTTGTGGGTCTTTGGGTTGAATCATTGCTTGGAGATCAATCCCTAGGATCATTGGAAGTTATTGGTGGTAAGGTTTCTCACCCTCACTTTGTTTTAAATGAGATCATATAATGGTTAGGGTTTTGATGATGTAAGTTGGGTTAAGGTAGTAAGGAGCATTAAATGGTATGTCTCCTTTGTAATTAAATGCTTAGAATGATAAATGATGATGATTGATGCAATAAAAATTATGGTGAATTGTAAATTTATAACTTAGGCAATTTTGTGATGAGTTTCAAGACTTTATGAAATTGGTATGTGTTGTAATTGAACAATTGAATCATGAACCATTGGTATATGTAAATAATAGGAGTATATGATGAGTATGAGTGTGGAATCGGATTGAATACCCCTAGGTTGATGGGGATGTGAAATTCGACCTATTGAGGTCATTGGTGGGGTGATGGTGTAAAAATGATATAGTTGATGTTATATGATCATGATTGGTGTTTAAATGAATGGTAGGTTGGTTTGATGTAGTGAAATTGAAAGGAGGAATGTTGGATGTGTATTGTGTGTGAGATTTCAACCATATCGAAGGAAATAAGGAAAATGATGTGAAAATATGGTATAATCAATGAGTGATGTCTTAGTGCATAAGTGGTGATTTAGTTTAATGACTAAAATGGTTGAAGTAAGTGGATTAAATGTAGTTGGCCATTAGGCCTAAGTTGTTTTGTTGAGAATTATTGTATTTGAAAGTGAATTGGTTGTCTTGAAATTGTATTGATGATCATGTTGATTGATCATTATAGGTTTCCTCTCTCAGACTCAATAGAGGAGAATTAAGCTTGGAGCTTACGTTGTGGAGCATGGGCTTCAAAGTTGAGGTAAACCTTTGGAACTTGGGTTTTATTCCCTCGTGTGTTCCACCACACCTAGTGGAAGGTTGTGGTTGGATTTGATGCCTTTGATTATGTATAAATGTATGTTCATGCATTATTGACATGATTGTGTGACATGTTTGGAACATGTTGTGTGATATAATTGTGATCTCTGGCCAGTAGATGTGTGTTGGTTTGGACTTCCGCTGGAGATATCCTTTGGGGATTCCGGTCGGGTTTTGCCGTGGAACCGACTCTGGGAGCGGTACCAGGATGATCCAAACGTGGGACTTTCGCTAGATAGGGCTCATGAGGAGTTCCAGTTGGGTTTTGCCATGGGGTCGTCTCAACCATGGGAGAGGCACCAGGAAGATTCCGAGAGTTATATGATGGGGTCCTTTAAGGGAATACTGATGTGGATGTCCTTGGATTTGTGCCCAGTTGTTGTTGTGTGATATTTGTATGTTATACATTTTATATGATGATCATTGGATGCACATTGAGTGAGCCATGGGGTGGAGTGATCCTCTAATACCCTTGGTTTACTGAGATATATTTGTATATCTCACCCCGCGTTTGGGGACATCATTTCAGGTCTTGCTGAGCATGGTGGATCTTCGGGCAATAGGCCCGCTTAGTGGAAAAGTAGAGCGTGAGGCGCATTTGGAGAGCATGACATATTGAAAGATTCCATTTGATGTACATAGTGTAGTATGTGATATTTTGGACTTAGGATATGAACTTGTTGCATGTGGATATTGCCATGCTCTTGTATATTTATGACCATATGTTAAGTCCTTTAAGTTGATGTATAGTTATGCCTCTTGTCATTTTGTATTTTGAGTGAGCATGGGACTTATCCATGGCCACATAATTGTATTTTGAGGCATTGGAAGACTTGAGTTGTAAATAGACCATTGGTTGTCTAAAATGGCTACTATATTGCAAATGGTTGTAATGATGCATTTATTAATGAATATGCATGATGGAAGGGCCTAGACCCTACGTTAATACTTATGTAAGGTGTATAATAAGTATCAAGGTGTTAGGAGTATGTTAGACCACTCATTTTGGGTCTTAAAAGCTGTCATCTATCATTTTTGCTGCATAGTAATCGATTACTTTTCACTGGTAATCGATTACCTGCAACAGGGAATGAAAAATTGAGCTTCTGTCTACAGAGTAATCGATTACCAGAGCATTGATAATCGATTACCTAGTTCAGTAATCGATTACCAATATCTGGTAATCGATTACCAGAAAACAGGGGAGCCCAATTTGAGGTTCTGACTTCTACAGTAACCTTGGGTAATCGATTACCTCAAGGATGGTAATCGGTTACCACTGTGTTAAATTTTAAATATGTGTTTTCT